TGTCAGAGCTGGGAGCTGCTTGGTAAAACAGGGAGAAATAAACCTTTAAAACCTGTGACACAGGAGGATTATTTGTCTGTGCAAGGCTTTAGTCACAGGTTTTGGTGTTTTATGTATGGATGTTGTGCGGGAACAGGACAACAAGGGCTTTGTTCAACTTGATCATCTCATCAAACAAGGCTAAAAGAATAAAAGTTGGGATGCAAGACTAAATGGATATGATCTGAATGCATATTTGTGTTACATCTAATACAACTAGCATCATAGATGAACAAGATCAAATAAATGGTAAAACCTGACAAAGAGAAGAATAGATGGTGTGTGGAGCCATCTGTTTTGGAGGACACCCAAATCTGTCTGAATCAGGAAGGCCAAACTACCAGCTATTCTAAGATCCTCCATTCCAAGAGTGGCCTAATACGCAACTACACAATCAGCTTCTCTCACCATCACTTTGGCTGCAACTTTTTTGTGCAATTAAGTAATTTATTCCTTTCTTCATCCTCCTGATTCTAATGAATCCAAGCCACAAACAAGCCCCAGTTGCTCCTATTCAAGGAGTCTGATTGCATCTGGCAGTAATTGCTGAAAATCCTGAAGAGGAAACAGGGAAGGAAAGCATATTGTTTGTGGGGGTAATAGGTGAAGACCTGCCTCTCTTGACCTATAATACATTAGTGTCAGTGAACATTTGGCAGCCTTCAGATGATTAGCAATGAAGATGAATCAAGCAAAAAAAGAGGTAGAAATCTGCCTCATCTGAATCGCCAGAACTGCATAAATTTGCATGTTGATTAGCTGTTCTTTTGTCTGTGTTCCTAATTATTATGACACATTATGTCTTCATCATGCAAGATTCTGATCTGTCTTGTTCAAAATGCATGTAGAAAAAAGTGCTGTTTATTGATTCAACATGTAACTTTAATTTTTATGTTTGCTTTAATTAAATACATATTTGATTGCCTTTGACTGGTGTCTCTGATTTTTTTAACTCTTATTTACTTCATCCTGTTGACAAACAAACAGGTAACCTTTCTTTATTCTCAGATCACTTAATGACTCAAAACCTCCCCACCCCCACCCTTGTCTTCACTCACAACAACCTTTGCTTCCTTGTTAGAGCAAAGATTACCAAAAAAAACTCCTTAGGAGGTAAAGTGTGATATCTACAGCATGGAGCAGGATTGCAAGGAACTTAAAAGCGTTGAGAACAGGAAAGATGTGCACACACTACAGGGTCAAGGTAATTTTCTTACATCACAGATTCATTAGCAACAAGACCAGGGAAGTACCTCAGTCTGCAGACTTTCTGATTCCCAGAATTAGCTACAACAGGACAGATCCAGCAAAAATATTTTTCCACTGACTTTCATGGTAGCCAGCTTAAACTCCAAGGCTTCTGAGCCCAGAGGAAGTGAAGTCCCCACCATCCTACCTGGTTGCAATAGCCGGAACATTTTATCTCTTTCTGGGAACTGGGAAACTTGAAATTGACATTTCTTCCTTCAAGCTTTGTTCAAGGGGCTATAAGCAGCCAAATCTAATCAAAGCCAAATCAAAAGATAATATGTAATCATTAGTTGCTTTGACCCAAAATAAGTTTCCAAAAGTTTTCCTTTGTTTAATTAGCAAATTGTACCATTCCAGCAAAAAATTTTATTCACTCAAAATAGTTTAATTTATATTCCATCTCTTTCAATTTTACTTTATTTTAATAAACTGGAAGAAATTTTGAAAATAAATAACATTTTTAGTTGTGAAATCAAAGTATTGTAGAGCATATTGGAATGTTTAGAAATGCTGAAATGAAACAGGTTTTTTGGCCATTTTTTTTTACTTTTTTCCCCAGATTGAAACAATTCCCTACAAGCAGCAAAAATTCATTACTCTCTTTGTTTGACTGAAAACTGCATGTTTTAACCAAGAAATCAGTTTCAGATTAAACATTTGACCCTCTCCTCTGCTGGCTAATATTAGTTTACCTTCATTACATGTTTGCTTATTGTGAGCTCTGACCTGTTTGTAATGGGGCAAACAATACTCTGCTGGAATTTTTGTTTGTTAAATAAAAATAAACATAGTATTGTAATTTAGAAAACTAAATAGCTCACAGATCTTTTTAAATAATTCTTCAGATTCTGGGTCAAATATGAGGATCATCAACATTGACTGACTTCCTCTAAACATAAACATTAGGCAATTAAAAAAAAAAGTCCAAAATCCACCGCTTGAAGAAAAATAGTGAACAACCTATTACATTTTCTCTAATGGCAATAGGAAAATGCCAGTCAGTGTACAGATATTAATCAAAGCTGTGCTGATAAAGATGCCTGAAGGTGAAAAACCCTGTATATTCAAGCAATTGATTTAGCTGTTATTTTTTACCATCATACCCTTGCCAAATCAAATGAGATTTGAAACAACAGTGCCTGCCATTTTTCACTGTTAATGGCACAGGATTGGCTGCAAGTGTAATCAGTTGCTTGGTACCCACTAATCATGTTGAAACATAAGAATCTTGAAACATCAGGTAAACATAAGAATATTTATATTTTTAAGAATATAAACATGAAATTAACACACAGCTGCAGAAAAACTACTCAGACATAAAGACTTTAAGGTTTTGACATTTATCCAGAAGGTAGGAAGGAAAAAGTTGTTGCATATTCAGGCTTTTCGTGTTTATTTTCGTTCAGTGCCAAGTGCATTTGGTCCCAACCTGATGGTACACAGTAACCATCCCCATGGACCTCCATTACAGCCAGAAGGAACCAAGGAGCCAAAAGAAATGTTACACATAGACACAGACAACCACAGGGAGCTCAAATGACACAGCTAAGAGACTTCCTCTTTTCTGTAATTCTCTTCTTGAGGCACTTCAGCACATACTGATCTGCACAGAGGCACAGCAGCTCTGGGCTCACACAGCTTCCACAGCAACCAAGCAGAGATGGAACAGCTCAGTGTGCTGTAACCTGGGGCAGAGTGCAGTGGACAGGTGGGCATTCTTTTACATATGGCCAAAGTTACTTCATTTTAAAATCCTAAAAAGTGCTTTCACCCCTTCTATCAGAGGAAAAAGTTACCAGTGTCTTGACAGGACAGGGCTTTTGGCTGCAGCAACTACACCTCAGAACTCCTCCTTGTCCTGGATTTAACCCGGCAACGTTGTCTGGCTTCCTCATGCTGCCATCTGCCCAACATTGACCCAGAGCCCAACCCAGAAGGTAAAAGTCTTCAAAGAGGGAAGATGGGGAACACCAATTGGTGAATTACCAACATGTAACCTAGCCTTGAGGAAACCTACCCCGTGGACATGAGTTCTTCCTAATCAATTGTCAGGAAATTTCCTATGGTTTCTAGCCAAAGGGCAACTTGAACTAAACCTGCTAAAGGTGAATATTTTAGATCTGTCACAGTCTGGGTTGAAGCTAGACCATGGAACTGGAGCTGTTCAAGTGGCATTGATGGATGACACCCTCCTGTCAGTGGAGAGAAGGCAGGCATCCATCCTCATCCTCCTTGACTTCAGCATTAACCATGAGATATTGCTGTCTCACCTGATGGGTGGCAGAAGTCCAGGGTAATGTACTAAAATTATTTTGAATCATTCCTACTGGTACACACCTCCTGACTTGTGACAAAGCATTGTCTCCATCGCTACACTCCTCTCCTGTGGACTCCTGATCTGTATTCTTTGTGGTGCTGTTTCTACACAAAGCTGCTGAATGATACAGTATTGACTGAATTGCCAGAAATGGGCAAGTGAGATACAGCTATATCTAAATTTCTCTGTATATACACACACTGCTACCACCAACACAGCAGTGAAAGATAAACAGCTGGTCAAATCCAAACAAAACAGAGGTAAGACAGATGTGAGACAGGAAAGCTTCTCTAAGAGCTTGTCACTTGAGTGCACTATGCCTGACTGGATGGTGTATTTCCCCAGGTGGTGTGTTGGCTTCATAATTTAGGTGTGCTCCTGGATTTGCTACTGATGCTAAGTTTTCCCATGGCAACCTCTGCAAGAAACACTTCTTTTCCATTGGTTAGGAGGCTCTGCGGCACCCTGGCAGGTGATGACCTTGTCTCCATTATTCATGGCTATGTCACTTCTCAGCTGGACTATAGTCATCTGAAATATGCAAACACGCAGCATTCATGCTTAGAAAACTTCATTTATTGCTGCAATGCATCTCTTCAGTGACAAAGGCATATCAAACCTGGCATTGGGCCTGGCACCAGCTTCCTGTAGAATTCCTAATTGAGTTCATGGTCTTCATTCTTATCATCCTCATCTAACACTGCATGAAACTGCAGCAAAGGAAACTTTTGACAGATTCACTCCACCAGCCCTGTGAGCTCTCTGCAGAAAGAATTGTACACATCTGTCCAGAGCCCTCAGCTTACAGATTGAACACCTTCAGGGAATATAAACCTCCTCCAAACTTCCCCTCCATCATAAACAAGATACTCCATTACATCTACTTCTCCCTTGGCAGGAAAGTGGGAGAGGGAACTGATGAATGGGTACAAGGCTCACTGTATGGTGCAGGGAGCTGGCTGTTATGAGCATGACCCACATGAGCTCATTCCCCACCAAAACTACTGACCTCAGCCACCAACAACACTTTCACATAGGCCTCTGTCCCTGTAAAAGTCTCCTTGTTGTGTGGCATGATTTCACCAGAAAAACTTTCCACAATGCCTATTCCCCCTGAGAGACTCTTTCTGCAGGTAGCACTAGTCCCAGCAGCCAAGTCAAAGCTTGCTGGGCATGGTAGAGCTGGTTTGGCATGACCCTGGCACCTGCTGTGCTAACCCTCACAGGGAATGCTGGCCACTCAGGGGGAACCAGTGTGCAAGGCACACACATGGCTCAAGAGTCCCTGTTGTGCCTGGGATTTAGCTTGGATCTGACTGGAAAGAAACCAGACTTGTCTCGCTCACAGCACATTCACCTTTGCTATTTTTATTGGAAATATTGTTCCAGTTCCAATAAGGAGTTTCCATTAATTCTATACCTTGCCAGTTCCTTAGGATGGATATTATAATTGTTTAAACTGAGAGTTTATACATTCTTCTCAGCATATTAAACATGGTTTTGAGGGATGTTGGCAGGTTATTTGGCCTTTAAAAATCATGTGTTCTTCTCTGAACTTTAATCCAAATAAGGCTTTTTAAAATTGATTCTTTCAAGTGTTGCAGTATTTTTAAAGCATTATTGTAAATCCCATCTTCAAATACTGAGCTATCTCTGAGTCCTCAAATCTGAAAAAAATCACAGCAGACGATGGTAAGATGGCAGTCATTCTAACAGGTAGCACACAGAAATTATTTACAGTACAAAAACCTGTAAATATAATGAAGACCTGCATAAGGGATAAAAGCATCTTGCTTAAAAGCATTTTTCACTGAAATTCACACTGATTAAATTATTGTGGCAACTCTCATTCTTCCCCACAGCTAACTTACAAGTCACTCATAATATGGCTCTTTCTAATATGTTTATATCTAGGAAACTGAGTGTTGTATTGCACCTACATTTTTTTTTTTGCTGTAAATACACTTTGCCTTCAAGAAAGATTGACACTTGTTCCATGCTCAGATTTCTACCAATATAATGGTCAGTTAGACATATTTATCTTGCCAGTGTATTCAAACTAGTACAATTGCTAATGTACACCAGAGCAGTGTACTCATACAGTACAAATCTACTTGTCTTGTAAGTAAGAAATCACTACCATAAAGCATCTTTCTGTCAACTAAATTGCACTCACGCAAGGGGGGTTGTGTTAATTTAACCAGGCTAACATGGTCTAAAACGGAATTATGCAAAGCTTGCTTAAAGTCACTGCAGCTGCCTGCTTGTGGGCTTCCTTGGGGAGAAGGATCACCAAAGTTCACATTTGCTGGAGCATTTTCAACTATTTTTGTTAGTATGGTTTGTCCAAATTTCAAAATCAAGTGAGAGGGGGGAAAAAAAACAGACCAAAGGACCTTTCTTCTCAAAGGTGACAAGACCTGTGTTGAAACTTTGGAAAACAGGAGTTGGCCAGAAAGTTTGCTAGAAATGATCTACACACTCAGCAGAAGACAGCTCAGGGTCTGGGGCAGATAGCACTTCCTGACCTCCCCATATCTCTGCATAAGGGGTTTTATCCACCATTGTGCTCCACTCTTCTCCCAAAACCTGGAACAGATCAAAGAGCACATGGCTGTTTTATTCTTCTTATGTCCTTACTATTTTTTTCCTGAGGAGACATCTCCAAAAATCCATGCCATAGTCCATGCCCTGCCACTCCTGGCACTGAGACTGGAGCTGGAGGGGCCCTCATCTCCACCAAAGGCCATAGCACCACAGGGGTGGGGACAAGCCAACAAGTTCACCCAACCCCACCCTCCTTTTCTGAAGTTTTGAAAGGAAAGGGAAAAACACAAACCTGAATCTGCTCAGCTGATGAGCACAACTGCCACAGGCAGCTGTGAGGGTGTTGGCTCCAGAGCAGGGGCAGTCAAACTTGCTGAGGGGAAGAGTTACAGACAGAAAAATATGCCAACAAGTAGTTGGCAAATTCCTTGAAAGTGAGGATTTGCAGGGCACTTCAGCTTTTCTGCTCTCATGGGTGCTGGGCAGCCCAGGAAGGAGGTCACCTCAGTGACCCACAGCTGTGTCCCCAGGCAGGAAAGAGACAGTGACATGGCACCTGCCACCAACAGTAGTGAGGGAAACACCGCTTTGGGGTGGGGATTACTGTTCCTCATACTCCTTTGTTTGCCATTGTAATCTCAGCAGTCATTCTCCTTGATAAACAAACAAGTGAAAAGATGCAATGAGGTGTAAGAATAGATTTGCACAGGGCAGACAACTGAACATTTAATTTATTTACCTCTCCTAACAGATACCTGGGGTGACATTTATTAATAAACGGCATTATCAGGTGTCTGATATGTAGCTCACAGAAATTAATTACCCAGCCCATGGTAAAACCATAACAAGCCTGCAGTGCTGTAACATTTGTGCTAATTGAAAATGAGATAAGTGCTGTGGGTGCAATTTGCATTCAATGCAGTGTATTAATTATCTTCAGTTCTCTTCATGATAAATGTACCTGACTGAACCACTCTGCTAATTTACTGGGTAATAGAGTCATAAGTGGATTCCCTTAGGTGACCAACTACAGGCATCGGGCTCTTTGGAACATCAAGGCCTTCCCCTTTCCTGAGCACTCATATGGGTTAGCAACCATGGATCACTTGGAGGCTGGGCTGGAAGTACAGGGCAGCAAACACTTCTTGTGACCAGAGGGCCGCTCAGTAGGAAACTGGGAAACAGTACCTCTCACCCTGAAACTTCTGCACCGAAGAAGAGGCAGTTTGCTTCTGTCGATAGCACACCACGGTGTCTGATGGCAGCTCCATAAGAAAAGGATTTTCCCACCCCTCTCCTCACTCCCCCCCTCCTCATTTCACAGTCAGGTTATCGTGGGATTTAATTACATTTTGTGTGAAATATAAATTAATTGACTCTTGTAATACCCATAATGATCAGGAAAATTCAGATTTAAAGATACTGTGTAGTTCCAGTAGATTAAGGCACTAATTGTTCTGCTCTCACCAACTATGATTTATGTGGGGATCAGGTTACAAAACCAATATGTGCTCAAGTTAAAGCTCTGTGGTACCATACAATTAGGGCTAAAGCTTTTTGTAAATGGGCCCAATAATGCAAAAAAGCTCTTTGCTAATCCTGGTCTTTTAATTCAGAGGTCACGCATTGTCTAAGGCAACCGCTTATACTGTACACAACCACTGTCCTTTATTCACCCTCCCCGCGTGGCTTGGGTATCTGAATTTGCCACTAACCTTGGACGTACTGTTACTAATTTCAGGGTAGGTGATGGCAATGCAAGAAGATCAGGGCCAGCGCTTTGCTGTGCTGCCCCCGGAGCAGCCCGGGCACGTTGTGACTGAGAGGTGATATCTGCCTCCCCCAGCTCCCCTTCAGTGCGCAGGCTGCGGATGGGGTCAGCTCCTGGGCTCTGCTGTCAGGCAAGCAGACATCCGGGGCAGCAGACGGATGGAGGTGACAGTCACTCTTGCAGCTGAAGGGGGCAGGAGGTGGTGCAGGCAAGGAGAAGGGGCAGCATCAGAGGAGGGGGCACAGGCTCTGCTCCCCTTCAACCTGCCTACCCCACAGCCAGCAGCACTTTGTTATCTTCACGCAGACGAGTGCTTTTCCATCATTTTGTCCTTGTCCCTGGGGTGCTAAAATTCAGCTTAGTTTTCCCTGCTGAGCATTACTAGGACAGCTCTCCCACCACCCTCCATCAAGTACTGGATGCCTATGTAGCGAAGGTGTGCTCACAGGGCAGGAGGTGGCATGGGATGAGCACGTGGTCGGTGTCCCAGAGGAACTAAAACATGGGAAAGGTCAGCTCAGTGCCAGAATAATTAGTTTGCTTTTTTAAAAGACCATCTAAGTAAGCAGAAAAGAACCAGAGAGGAGGTGTGTCTCTGACAAAGGTTCACTTATTCCCATTTAAGACAGTGAAAGCTCCCTCAGCTCCTACTCTGTCCTACACATCAACAACAAATACAAGTTACTTTCCCAAAACATTTTGTGTGGCTGCCGAAATACTCCTTGCTTCTTGAGTTTGGTCAATTTAATATGAAAGGAGCACTGTAACATTTTGAAACTATTTTTAAAGTGCTGATATTATCTGTGCCAGAGACATTAGCAGTGACATGTACAACGGAGGCATCAATTATATCTCTTCATCCCTTTCTCATTCTTTAGTAAGGAATTCTTTGGAAAGATACAATCAAAGAAATCTTCTTTCTTAGAGAGCTCTGTGTGTTAGCTTAGCAGTATCCCTTGGTTCAAATGGTAGCCAGATTTCTTATCTTTCCCTTCGGTGGGCAGAGAAAAACCTGGTGGAGTACTGTTTCTCCCAATCCAAACCTTTCATAATTATCTCGCTACAAGGACAAGGGATGAAGAGGGGTCTTGTAAGGGTGGAGTACTGGGGTAGTCCTCAATCCAGAGCAAGGGCAAGATTGACATCACTGACTTGTGGAAAAAAGCAGGCATGGGACAGCACTCACTGCAGCCACTCTTGTTTTACCATCCACTCCTTAATATCATCCAGGTCCAAGCTAAGTTTTTTCTCAACTGTAACTCTTCATATGGACTATACATTCTTTTCCTGGAGAGGAGAAAAAAGCTCAGAGGGGAAGGAGAGCCACGGCACATCTGCAGTGCCCAAGGACCCCCAACAGATGTCTGAGCTGGCATCCTTTTGTGAAATGTGCTGCAACACCTGCTTCTCCCAGCACCATGCAGCCCACCTGCATCTTTACCACCACGGAGTCCACCAGCAGCTCCAGCAGTGTCACAGCCCCTCCTGAGGTGAGCAGGATGGCTGCTGTGCTGTGCTGCAGGGGTGTCAGCACCCTCACCCCTTGGGCAAACAGGACACAGCAGAGTGCAGGCACACAGCTTGCCCAGGGGTGCTCGGAAGGCTGCACCAGGGCTCAGGCAATGCCCTGCCCTGCTTCGTCCTTGTTTTGTTCTCAGCATGCCAGGCCTCATTGTCTTTGCACAGGTGCAGTGGGGGTAAAACACTTTCCTGCTCTTTCAGGCAAGCCAGCCCTGCACAGAATAGGACATGAAATGCAATCGAAATCATGGCAGGGAAAACATGAACAAGAAGAGTCTTAACTTTTAGTGTGAAGCACACATTTGCTAAATAGAATCCTAATGGCATTATTGTAGCTAAAAACAGAGACTTGAAAATGCTGTATACATTATTATGTTCATTATCTACCAACTGCAAGAATGCTGTATTAAAACTAACTCAAAACACCTCAGGTAAGGTAATTGCTACTAATGGATTTGAAGTGTGCAAAATTGAGCATTATTACACAGACATCACATTCTCAACTTGGTGAAGCCGTTGGATATTGTAGCTACCAGCTCACTCATCTCTCGATCAGGGAGAGATTTGAGGAAAAGGGCAAGCTCTCTTTCATTCGGCACCGGAAAGAAAATTCAACAACACAATATTACAGCAGCCTGGTTGTACCTCTGTGGTTAAGAGGGGGTCAGTGCTTGCTTTCTGAATCAATGCTTCAGAAAAACATTTACAAAAATTTGCTCCAGGATTCAATATCTTGGGAAGGACCTGAAAGCAGACTTTGCATTTATAAACTTTTGCAACTTTTAGGTCAAAAGAAAAGAATGGGAGAGGAGCCTGCAAAATTATGAGGGGATCCATAAATCCTTTGTCATATTCTGATATATTCTGATATCTGTCAAGATATCCCAGGCCTCTTGCCTAAAGACAGAAGACAATTTTAATAGATTCCCTCCTATGCTGGGATATGTCTGTGGGTCAATCACAACAAACCTAAACTTCAGCAAAGTCCAGGTGTGTTTGAAACAAGATACTTAATTTACCTGCTGGAAAAGTCCCATATAACAATATAACTAATACATTTAGTTTGTTTGGTATCTTGGCTTTCAGAGAGGGTAGGATTAATTTTTTAATTTAGTGACTCTGCATAAAAATCCATGATTCCAATTTAACTGTTTGTAGCTAATCTGTAACCCCCAGGTTATCTTCAAAAAAGGGCCTCCCAGGGGTTTTACTCTCTTTCATGAAAAAAAAAAATTAACTCTACCAGAGCAGATGCTTTTCTAACCTTTGAGAAGTTAAGTTACTATCTTATAAATTATTTTAGTAGTAACACTAAAGCGATGAATTGTTGTTTGGATAAAATTCTGTAAACCATTGTCATTTCAGTTAATATGTAAAAAAAATACGTGGCCAGGTCCTAGTAAGTTTCAATTCCTTCTGATTATGTTGAGGAAAAGAAATTAAAAAGGCCATGTACATTCAAGATTAAAGCAGTCTCTGTCTGAGTAGAGAAAGCACAAAGAAATTTGAACTCACAGCTGCAACCGAAGGGAATGGGAGCTGTGCTTTGAACAGATAACAAACTAAGTCCTCTGAAAAACCAGACCATGCATCTCAGATGGGGAACTTAAAATTAGTGAATACTTTTGTACTTAATCTCTTTCTGCCTCAGTTCTTCATCATGAAATGTGGATAATACTACTACCCAACGCCAACTGCAGTGCAGTGAAAATAAGTTCATTAATGTTTATGAAACATTCGGTTACCATAGTGATGAGTTCTATAGAAAAGCCCATGTGGAAATTAATATTTCTGTCTTCAGAGCAGGGTTTGAATAGAACACATTTAGTAAGGCCTGGGGCCACACAATGGGGAGAAAAGTAAACAGTAAATAACTTGCCGCTGAAAGATAAAAACAATAATCAAATCAAAATGGCCTGTTAAACAAAATATT